GAGCCCGGTTGGTGCAGTGATTGAGCGTTCAGCTGCTAACCAAAGGGTCAGCAGTTCATATCCACCAGCTGCTCCTTGGAAACCCTGTGGGGCAGTTCTACACTGTCCTATAGGATCGCTATGAGTCAGAATCGACTCGACAGCAGCAGCTTTGTCTTTTTTTTTTGTTGTTTTTTTGTTTCTTTTTGGTCTCTGCTTGATGTTAAATACATCATTTTTACTATTCCTTACTTCTTCATTGCATTTTCCTAAATATCAGATTCACTATCGTACTTTTGCACTGTGATAAAAAGACATCATGAATCAAGAAAGTTTTCTAGAATTATCTACATGAGATCAAATTGACAACAGCAACTTGAAAGGTTAGCTGAGAAGCTTAGGGGGCAGTGAGTTTAAGTTAATGGTGGCGGAATACTTTGAGAAGGACAGCGAGAATGGTTGCACAACTTTAAGAATGTAATCAGTGTCACTGAATTGTACATGTAGAAATTGCTGAAATGGTGCATCTTTTTCTGTGTAGATTTTTACCAAAATTTTAAAAAAGCAAGTTTTTTCTCATGTCTGAGGAGCAGAGTGTGTGTGCATGCACACACTCACACACCAACAACCCACACACACGAAAGAAAAAAACTGTGTCTAGATTCCACCAGTTAGAAAAGGCTCTTCAGTCTTTTTTCAAAGTTTATTATTTCAGATCCAAGTCTCTAATCACTTCAGCTTCTTGTATTTAATGACCTTAAAAAAAAGCGTTTACGAGTCCTTTAGCAGTCTGCCCTAGCAAAGAAACCACTTCAGGTATCAATTTTAAAGTAAGACTTAAAGAATCTAGATCCGGAACAGACCTGAAAAGTCATATAGGCCAGTGTTCTCAAACTTTGGACTCACACGCCTCTGAGAGTCCATGGACATGGGGATCAAGACAATCTATGAGAAAAGTTTAATTTTTCATTTACATTTCAATAATAATATAAAGAGAAATCTTTTATTAATTATTATGAGTAATGGTACTTCCCAAGAGAAATGGTGCTTCACATCTTCATAGACTGAGTCAGTAGTTTGCTTAATCGGCATATCTGAAACAATAGTCTCCTCCTCCTTCCTCACCCCTCCCCCTGTGATCTGAGAACATTTTAGGAGTCACCAGATTTGTGGTGGTTTTTTTCCCCCTCTTTGAAACAGACCCTTTCATTATCAGTGTTTGAGAAACTGATCTACATCATCTGGCTGTCCCTTTGGTACTTCAGCTGTCTCTAAACTCACAGAGCAAATCCACTCCAGCCTAATTTGACTACCTTGTCCCAGGCTGATCATTCCCACTGAAATAATTCTTTCTTCCGTAATATTTACCAGAAATCTGTCTGTGTGTGGCCTCCCAATCACTGTACTTTTTTCCTGTGGTGTAAAGAATAAAACACTTCAAATGATAGTCCTGTAAAGCTCTTTGGTAAGTTATCATGTATGATTTTTCTACCAAACCATCCTCCCCAGACACACACACACACACACATATTTTCTTCACCAGGCTAAATAAATACACTCAGTCCCATCAACAATCCTTCACATGACCTAGTTTTAAAACTCTTCTTCATCCTGGTCACTCCACTATGGAAACATGAGCCCTCTTACTCACCTTTCCCTTAATGTGGAGCTGTAGCACACTCATACTGAGCGAAGCCTGAAGACTTTTTCAGATGTGCTGCTTCCAACACTCGTGGTTCATCCTTCCTCTGTTTACGCACCTGCTTTTCAGCACCACGTATGCCAGTCAATTTCACACTGAATCTGTAGCCCCAAACTTATTTCATTGTGTTTACTTCCTCTGGCCCCTAATAGCTAAATCCATTAATACCAACTCCATCACTACCACCTATAAACAAAATTGAATTTCATTTCCTGAACCAATCTTGACCAAGACAAATGTGTATCAGCAGCCTCTGCCTACCATCTGAAACACAGAATTAAACCCCCTTTCCAGTCTTTACTGACCAATCAATCCTGGGATCCATGTGGCTCCATGAGCACCCTTCAGGACTCCCACACTGCACCTTAGCTCATCCTCTCCCCTTTCCACCTCTATTCCTGGATATAAATTTGATCCTTAAATTACCAATTCAATGGCCATAGATTACTTCTCTTATCCAAACAAGTGATCCTGAAATGATGGCCCATTGCAGGAAGGAAAATAAGACAAGATTTCAAAATTACCCATTTTCAGAAGCTATCGTTCAGAAAACATATTCTATGGTTGGTAGGTTAATTTTTTTTTGTAAAAGACAACCTCATTCTCCTAAAGAGTGTTACTAAGCCTCCAAAAGGATCTAACTTTCAATAGAAGATTCAAGTCAATCAACACTAAACATTTAGGAAGCACACGAACTGAGCTTTAGATACTATATATTATAAATAAAATAATCTCTCACCAAAAATAAGTATGCCAAGAATCGCAGGGAGAAGAACAGAAGTCATCTAGCCCTCCTCCCCTGATACGGTTTTAAAGTAAAGAAACCAAGTCCCTAAGAAACTAAGTGATTTATCCAAGGTCACAGAGTAGGTCACTGATAAAACTGAAACAAGGACTCAGGTCTCTTGATTCTCAATCCACAAAAGGATCTAGAAGTCTGTGATGTACAATGGACTCTACAGAGTTTCAATTGTACTCAGTGTCTTCCCTCAAAAGGTCACACGGTATATAATATGAATCTACAGGATTTTATGAAACACCAAGCAATTAAAACATAAAGACAATACAGATTAACATACATGTGACTTTATCTACAAGATACCAGTTTCTGAAAGTGTTGACTGTAAAACACGAAACTGTGAAATTAGAATTTATAAAGGGAAGTCCAAAATTTTACTCATGAATATTACTAGTCATAACAAATCTATCACATTTTAATGAACAAAAAAAAAATATATTAATCATAAAAAGAAAAACATTAAGTACCAGAAAGACAGTAGAACACAGTAGTCTAATCATTTACATCCTATTTCCTCTTCCACTCACTAGCTGTATAACTTTGAGCAGCTTCTTTAACCTCTTTGTGCCTCCATTTTCCGGACTATAAAATGGGGATAGTAGTATTTACCTCACAGGGCAGTTGTGAAGATTACATGAATTAACAGTGCCCTGGTGGCGTAGTGGTTAAGAGCTACAGCTGCTAACCAAAAGGACAGCAGTTCAAATCCACCAGGCACTCCTTGGAAACTCTAGTAGTCCTACTTTGTCCTATAGGGTCGCTGTGAGTCGGAATTGACTTGACAGCAACCGGGTTTGGTTTGGTTTGATTTTTGGCATGTGGAAGATGCTCGATAATTGCTCTTCCAACTCATAAATTACTCTTTTCCACTTAGATATAAACCAACTCTTGATATTTATCCATATACCTTTAGTGAGTCCAAACTTTATATGGTGCTGAAATGATATTTAGGATTTCTTAAAAGACCCAGGTTTTGAGCAAAAAATTAAGCAATGGTAGAAGCATGCTAGAAAAGAATGGCTACATGCTTACAGCATGTGATAAACTGTCAGAAATCAGGAGAACAGAATGGTGGCGAATGGCAAGGATTGGCAGATGTGGGATGACAGAAAGAGCCAACAGTTCTCCAAACCAGTGAAACACCTTATTTAGCACATCAGATTTGCAACGCCCTATCACCACCACCACAACTAGTGACCAAACGCCTCTTTCCACTTCCTAAACATTCCCACTTCTACTTCTTCCCCCCGTCAACAGACTCAAGGGAAAAAATCGCACAGAAAATAGAAATAGAGGTCTCCCTAAGATTTAAGTCCCATGAAATTTCCCATGAAAAGCAAACAACAATCAATTGTAAATAGAAGCACAATGCACTGCATTCCCTTTGCTCTCATTAGATGGCCCTAGATATCCTTCAGGCTCCTGGTCAGTACTGCTGTCTCTGGCGGGCAAATGGTAGGAACAGATCAGTTGAGTGTGATCATGAGGGGTGAAGACTCTCAGTCAGGATTGTTAGGGATTGTTGGACATTCTTGGGGGGCCTGCGGGGATCAGGATTTAATCACAATCACGTACCTGACACTTACCTCCATGGAGCAATATATAAAATGGAATAACAAGAGAAGACGGTGCCTGGAAGCAGGAAATCTCAAAAAGACTAGGTAATACGTGGCTAGGCGTGAGGTGATAATGCTGAGAGAAGGGTGAAAAAAGCAGAGGGAAAAAAAGGTTTTGAAAGAGTCATAGGGAACTGTGGCAAGATATGTCAACAGATTAGACCTAGTGGTTAAAACTTAGTGAGGCTTAAAGACCACCCAAGAAGATGGGATTTAACAGAAGACAGAAAGTGGGTACTGCTGACAATTATGGCGGAACCAGCCCTGTGAGAGAGAATGCTAGAAAAAACCACAGATTCAGCCTTGTCATGTTTAATTTTAGGTCAAAGTCTAATCTCCACCTGGAAACATTCTTTGAATGGCTACAAAATCATATTCTAGAATGTTTCTAATAGGTTCAGAATATCAACCAGCTCGCAATTGAATTGATTAAGGGCTTTTGCTCATCAGCAATGATATGTCTTTAAGTGGTGAGCAAGAAAAACGTGAAATAGACTCAAGAAGGATTTAGATTGCATTCAAATTAATCAACAAGTAATAATATATTATGAATTATGAAACAAAAGTTGGAGTATTTAAGCTATAAGCTCAATATATAAAGACAATTTTATGGAGACCAGCTACCTTTTTTTCCAAAAGAATGACATTTATGTCACTGTCAGACACAGAATATTAGGCTTATACATCATTACTCTGATTTCACATATTTATTATGTTACATAAATGAAGAATAATAGTTTAAGCCCTATGAATCATAGTTTTAGCTTTTAATCTAATTCTTACTGACAAATTCCTGTGCCGATTTTCTTGACTGATTGAACACATTATAAAATAGACAAAGAAATCTGGAACCTTTTTTAATGTAAACATTGGTTACAATTCAACTTTAAATAAAAAGACTTACCATGTTTTCCTTCATCTTTCTCAGCTTTTCATCGATCTCTTTCAACCTATTTTGCTGATCCCTTTGTTCTTTGGTGTTCCGAAGTACTTTTTCTCCTGGAGTTATTTCCATATTTCCGTCATCATTCTTAAGGGCAGTTTCCTAATTTAAAAAAAAAAAAAAATTCATTTACAGGCTGGAAATCGACTGCCACACACCATTCCAAAGCAACTAAGCCTTGACGATTGGCTTTAGTTCTCAAACACTATGTCTTCCCTTCAAAATGGTAGCCCTGGTGGGGCAGTGGTTAAGAGCTCAGCTGCTAACCAAAAGGTAGGCAGTTTGAACCCACCAGCTGCTTCTTGTTCTACTCCATAGGGTTGCTATTAGTTGCAATCAACCCGATGGCAATGTTTTTTTAATTTTTGAGGGGGTTTTCAAAATGATATTTATAACTCTTTTTTAAAAATCTTCCTATTTGAGGGGGGAGAATGTTTAACTGTACGTCAAACAAGTAGGGAAATGAACTGAGCTTCTGCAATCATCAGGAAAGCAGACATAGGGGCCGGGCAGCAGACCTCTGAGTTCTGATACTTAGCAGCTTGGAACCTGGAGCGAATCACAGTTTCTCTACACTTCAGTTCCATCAGGTAACATGGGGGAAAATGCCTACCCATGTTATGTGAGGTAGCTATGTAATAATGGGAAGAGAACTAGATTTGGCAAAGTCAGAAGTTTTAAATCCTAGCTCCACCTGGTTCCCGACCAGATGACCTTAAACAAAGAAACAAAAAAAAACCCCACCAAACCCACTACAATCAAGTCTATTTCAGCGCATAGCAACCATGTAGCACAGAGTAGAACTGCCCCATAGAGTTTCTAAGGAGCAGCTGGTGGATTTGAACTGCCGACCTTTTGGTTAGCAGCCAAGCTCTTAACCACTACGCCACCAGGGCTCCAGATGAGCTTCTGGAAATCAATTAACCTCTCTGAGCTTCAGTTTCAGCAACTGTAAAACGATAATAGTAAAAGCTAGTCTGGAAAAAAAAAAAGTCATTGCAGTATGCAGCAGGCATGCAAAAAAATCTTAGCACCTAACAGACGTGAACTGAGCATGTAGTTTCAAGTCCTTTGAAAAGAATAAGCATTATATAATGGAGGAATTCCACTATTATCATCAATACTTGTATTTACAGAACCATATTCTCCCAAAGTTAATATTATTTTAGGTGATAAAAATGGGTATTTCTCAACAGTAAGTTGGTCCTATATCTACAACTAACCAAGTTCTAACTTCTCACCAACAGCTCTCCTACTGCTGTGTTCCTGTGTTAGTGACTGGTACAGCTGACCACTGTTGAAACTGCTCAAGCCAGAATCCTCCCCATCCCTCACTATTCACATACAGCTGGTCACCAATAACGGTCACCATTCTACGTCCGAATACCTCTCTAATCAGTGGCCTTCTCTCCTCACTGCCTTAGTTTATCCCTCCTCATCACTCACTTGGAGCCCTGGTGGGGCAGTAGTTAATAGCTCAGCTGCTAATCAAAAGCTCAGCAGTTCAGATTCACCAGACACTCGTTGAAAACCCTATGGGGCAGTTCTACTCTGTCCTATAGGGTCACTACGAGTCAGAATCGACTCGATGGCAACAGGTCATCATTTAATTGAACTAGTAGTGCTCAAACTCCAGTGTGCTTCAGAACCACCTATAGAGACTGCAAAAAGATGCAAAGCCCCAGCCCCCACCCTAAAGATTCTGATTTAACAGGAAAAGGCTGGAGATTGACAACCAGAAGCACAGCCATGTGCGAAGTTGGGAAGTATTCACTTAGGTTACTTCTTAAGGCTCCTAACTGGTGTCTGTGCTACCAGGCTCCCCAGTGTTAGCAGCTGTGTGCTTTTAAGCAAGTCACTTTCTCCATTTGGGTCTCCATTTCTTCTGATAAAGTTTCTTCCAATTCTAACAGACTGGCTATGTTGGGCCTAAAGGATATGTAACATCTTTCCTCAGTCATGATCTCTGAGAGCATAGCCATATAGTTCAAATACTTGAAGAATATCCTTTATGAAAGCAGAGGCTAAGAGGGAGCCAGAAAAGGCAGTCGTGGATTCTGGCAAAAAGTGCGCAGTGGCATATTTAAGAGGCTCTGTGGTTCCAAGAGAGATTCTGTTCTCGCATCAAAGTACCAACCAGTACTGTGCATTTTCATGATCATCAGGGAACATCTTGATTTCCTTCGGTAGAAACGTTTAAGCAGATTCTTTGACCACATCATTACTACATCGTTTGTGTGTTTCTGAGCCCCACGGGAACGTTTTTATGAAGAGTTTAGTAAAATATCTCCCTGATATGTGCTGAATAGCTAAGAAGCCACAAGAAGAAAACTGTCCTTGAGGTCAACAGACATTTGTTGATTCAACTAATTAATTACCAAGGGATTCTAAGCTCATCCTTAGAAAAATATCTGTGATGTTGACAAAGCCAATAAGGGTCTTTGAAGCTAAGTAGCCTCACTATCAAAAGACAAATACGGAGAGAATTACTCAAAGCTTTGTAAATTATCTGGTATGCAAATGAAGCATGCTATAAAGGGGGCTATGAAAATGCAAACCTGCCTAAATAAAGCTAGCTTGCTGTGCATTTTCAGGCTAATACTATATATTTCCATAGGCTACTGCTGTTTCCTGTCATCAGATGGATCATTTGCCTGGCAGTACTTAAAGTAGGGAAAATTTTTTCAGGCAGATTATTTTTACCATCTTGGAATGTTGTCATGAAATGAAAGAAACGTTGACTACATAGGAAGCTTAATATAGGAAAACAAAAAGAAATATAAACTTCAAAGAAATCTATAAAACATAGGTGGCAAGAGGAATTTCCCAGATTTAACTGGGAATGTTTGACAGGTTAGCACCAGAGGCAAGGCCTTCTGAAGTAACTTCTTATTTATTCCTCATTCTAGAAACCCACGCTTCCAGGTTATACTTCTGTAGTTTTGGAAATGAGCAGACAGTCGATAAGATTTCTGGGCCTGTGACTAGATATCTCAGTCCCCTGGTGCTGCCATAACAAACTATCACACAGTGAGTGGCTTTCAAGAATGGAAATGTATTGCCTCACAGTTCTGGAGGCTAGATGTCCAAATTTGAGGCATAGGCAGGGCTATGTTTTCTCTGTCCTCTCTAGGGGAAGATCCTTCATCACCTCTTTCAACTTCTGGTGGCCCTGGACATTGCTTGGCATTCCTTTGCTTGTAAGTGGATCCTCACATGAGGTCTTCCCCCTATGTTTGTCTCTGTCTCTGCTCTCCTCTTTTATTGGACACCACTCAGAAGGGATTAGGATTAGGACCCACTTACTCTGGTATAACCTCATTAATTTAACTGATAACAAAAGAAAAACCTTATTTCCAAACAAGGTCACGTTCACAGGTATAGGGGTTAGAAGGTCAACATATCTTCTGGGGCGACACAATTCAACCCATAATACTAGCACACATAAAAAGTTTCTAGAACCAGAGACTCCATCAGCCTGAGATCAGAAGAACTAGATGGTGCCCTGCTACCATCAATAACTGCCCTGACAAGGAACACAACAGAAAGTCCCTGACAGAGGGGGAGAAAAGTGCAAAGCAGAACTCAAATTCACATAAAAAGACCAGACTTAATGGTCTGACTGAGACTGGAGGAATCCCCGAAGCCCTGGCCCCCAGATGCTCTGTTAACCCAGAATTAAAACCATTCTCAAAGCCCGCTCTTCAGACAGATTAGACTGGACTATAAAACACAAAATAATACTCATGAAGAGTGTGCTTCTTAATTCAATCAGATACACAAGACCAAATGGATGACTCCTGTCCAGAGGCAGGATAAGAAGGCAGGAAGGGACAGGAGCTGGTTGAATGGATACAGGAAACCGGGGGTGGAAAGTGGGAGTGTGCTGTCACATTATAGAGATTGCAACTAGGGTCACATAACAATATGCGTATAAATCTTTGTATGAGAAAAAATAAAATTAGTGAGACTTGCTTTTTTGGCTGAGCCTAAAAAAAAAAAAAGTTTCTAGATTCCTGCTCTCAAGTGGTATATTAAGTCCATTTGGGGTCAGGTGGACTCCATCGTTATCAATGGAACTGAGCAAATCCCTGGATACAACAATAAAACACCTTTCAGGATTACAAGTAAAACAATGTTTCACATTTCCTCAATTTTAGCTAATGCTGAGACAGGAACAGACCAAAGTAGAAGTTCACTGTTGCCGTCAGCAATGGTATGCTCTTGGCAAGAAAAGAGATGAATAAATACAACTATGATTTTCCTCTAGCGCATGTTTGTTAATTTTGTTAGTCTTAACCAAATTGTATACAACTGAGTCAATAGTTTAAGAAAAAGAAAATAAATCAAATGAAAGAGGACCTTTATATTCAATTAAACTTGCAGGTTTAAGAACAAAGAAATCACTCTTGTCAATGACAGTCGTTTTTGAAGACCCCGACCCCACCAAAAAAAAAAAATCTAACCATGAACTAGAATTCTAGATTTAGTAAGACTGATTGCATGAGAGATGAATAAATTATACTTCTTTACAAGAGCCAAAGTGAAAAGAATTTATTATTGAATCCAGTTGCTAGGGATTTAAGAAACTGAATGCTTACATAGCTCCTATATCCTAAATATTTTTGGAGAAAGCTGGAATCTAATACAACTACAAATAAGAAATACGGTAACTAAATTATGGAACATCATTCAGTTTTATGGTGGGATTTACAGTACATGGAAAGAACTAACTGATTTGTTGGAGGGTTAGAGGATGGGTAGAGAAAGGTATGCACAGTTAAACCACAGATCTTAAGAGAAAAATTGCTTCAATTAGTTCTCCTTCGCTAAGATGAAATGAAAATAAAAAGCAGATGTAAAAACCGCGACCACATGATGCTATTCACATTACGGCAATAGCTGTACTAGGTCATTCCTTCTTTTGACTGTGACCCCATGCATTTGACACTACGGAAAGCATTGATGTAAAAGCCAAATGCTGTTTTTAAAACGTGGCCATAAAGTTAAGAGCCAAGCCAAGGAATTTATAAGCGGGCATTGTAAAACATAAGCTGCAAAGGAAAAGGAGATTTCCAGTCTGCCCCTTCACAATGACCAAC